TATATATGTATACAGCTTTCTATACTAATATGCTTGACCTTGCTATAATACATATTTAGATTTGGATTCAGCATCCTGGCTTCCATTAAAACATTTTTGCAACTGCAGTTGAAAGACAGAACCAATAATTATTTTGTCAGCCCCGACGTGCCAGGGCTGCCATTCCAGCAGGGCTAGGGGGAAGCCGCTTACCAGCCATCCTGGCCAAATGGGCTCCATCGCCACCGCTGCAGCTGCCATCACTCCCACCATAGCCTCCGCTGCCGCCGTTGCCACCACTATCAACGCCACAACCGCCCCCCCAAAGCCCTGGAGGCAGTTGCCACTGCTGTGGACGCCACCAGTGCTGCGGGGGACTCCAAAGCTGTCGCCGCCGCACAGCTGAGAGGTGGGGCCGGAAACAGCTGAGCTTCGGAGCCTCCGCTTTGTGAAGCCATTCCCCGGAATGCCTGACAGGCCAAGGGGGAAGAGCCTAGAAGCATAATGCCCGCTAATTAGGGGCATGGGTGGAACCTGGCTTGTGGGTAGAGCTGCGGGGTGGAGCCACGAGTAAGGAGGGTAACTTTAAAAGGTGGTGGGGAGCACTGCTCAATAGCACTGACAATGAGTCATTTCTCACAGGTATTTGTTGGATCGTGCTGAAGCACAGGATAAAGAACTCTCTACAACACAGACATCAGTTGTTTGGAGTCTTATTTTATTGCGCCATTCCGGAACCTGACATATTTTTAGATAGTCTGGTATTCTTTGTTAGAATTATGACTTCTTTAGCAGAAGCCACAACTTTGAAATATTTCAGGGGTTCATTGGTAGTGATAGAATAATCTATCATATTCAGATTGAATTATCATAAGCAGACCTATTTCTAATTGTTTAGAACTTAATACATAGATTGTTTTATTTCTGAGTTCAATTTCAATTCCAATTGGAATTGAACTACAATTTGTAAATAACCCAGTTCTCCAAATGTTTGTCAACCATCCCACTGGTTAGACAGCAATTATTTTCTTATACAACCAGTTTGTTAGTCTCTACTAGTTCAGGGCCTTCTTCTAAACAGCTAAACTTAGCAATTTTTAATAACAAGCATCAATTTATTTTACTTTAAGTTCCTTGAAGTGATACACTTAAAGTTTTGACTTTTTTAACGGTGTCAATTCATCTTGTCCATAGAACTCCTGCTTTGAATGCAATTTGTAATCCAATTGGAATTTCACCTCTCTGAATAGCTTGATGTTTTCTTGGCCATCACCTTGAGTCTTTTATGAATGACTAAGAACATGGCTATTCTGATGTAAAATTTCAGTTGTCTGCCCTTTTTTCTTTCTTTCTGTTAGGACAACATTCAGTGTCTGAATGTCTTCCTTTGAACATTTTTCTTTCTTTTTTAAATCTACAATTAGAGAATGTAAACCAGTTTAATCCTAGGATGCCCATTAGGATCATGAATGAAGCAAAGAATATGTTTTACTTTCTTTAGAATGACGTTTAGCCAAACAATTCCAGTTGGGTCAAAATTCAGATCAAGAAAAACTGGAATCATTTATATGGTTTAGGATTTTGGCCAAATCAAATCCAGAACAGTTGTCAGGAGTTATTAGGGTAAAGTTGCTATGCCTTGCTCCTCCCTTTCCTCCTCTTGCAAACAGCCTGTGTGCCAACCTACATTTTCACACATCTTCCCCTTTACCTCCCCTCAGCCATCACTGTAGTTGAAATCAAGTCCACCCATTCCCCTGGCCCAATCTCAGATCTTCCTTTTCTACTGGGCCCCATTGTCTTTTTCCCATTTGAAGTAGCTCCTCTGTGATTGCACATTATGGACTGAGGGATTATACTGTTATTAAATTGCATGTTCTTTATTGTGAATGTTTTTAACAGGAGCAGATTGCAAGTCCCAATTACAGAGCTGAAAATGTTTCAGGTTCTTTAAATTATGTCAAAATATGTGCTACTGCATAGTTATCCGGAACAATGCTTTTTAAACAAGAAGTTTCTACAATAAAATCAGAGCTGTGCAAGATTGTATGGGTGCAATCCATTATTAGCCAACCAAAATTAGCTTTCAAAATGTAAGTCTGTGCAACCAACCTTTTATTAATGGAGGAAAAAATGGAGCCAATATGAATTTCATATCGAAAAATGTTTTTTTCCCCTCTGCTCCTGATTCTCCTCTAGCTTTTCTCCCTGGCTGACACATCCCCGTTCATTCGCCCTAGCCAATGGGCCACGGCCCCTCTGTCCCACATGCTTTGGTGCAGCCCATTCGACACCTCACTGTTCGTCCCGGGCTTTTAGCCTCCCAGGACGGTTAGCTGCCAGCCAATCAGCTAGTTGCCAATGCTGGCAGCCAGGAGCCATGGTGCGATTGACAGCAGGAGTGAGGGTGGGGGTTGGGGGCGTTGCTGCAGCCAAATGGTCTCAGGCGCTTGTTAGGAGAAGGAACAGGAGGATGGAAGCTCCCCTGCACCTGATTGTGCCTCCCTGATAATGAATGGGAAGGAAGGAGCAGGGGTGGGGGAGGCGGATAGTAAGCCGGCTTCACCCAAAGGAGTTTTTGTTTTGCATGGGTATCCTAACCTATGGGTATCCATCCTAGCCATGGGTATCCTAGAGAGAGGGAAGGAGGAAGGGAAGAGGGAGAGAGCAAGAGAGACACACACAGAGAGAGAAGGGAGACAAGAAAGAAAAGAAAAAAAGAAAGAAAAAAGAAAGAAAGAAAGGTGGGAAGAAGGGTGGGAAGAAAGAAAGAAAGAAAGAAAGAAAGAAAGAAAGAAAGAAAGAAAGAAAGAAAGAAAGAAAGAAAGAAAAAGAGGGAGGGGGAGAGAGAGGGAGAGAGGGAGAGAAGGGAAGGGAGAAAGAAAGAGAGGGAGAGAAGAGAGAAAGAAAGAAAGAGGGAGGTAAGGAAGGAAGGAAGGAAGGGAAGGGAAGGGAAGGGAGAAAAAGAAAGAGGGAGGGGAGAAAGCAGTGATGGGTTGCTACCAGTTTGCCCTGGTTCAAGCGAACTGGTAGCAGCAGCGGTGGGAGGCTCCTGCCCGGACATCATCAAAAGCATTCTGCGCATGCACAGACGTATTGTGAGCAAAGCAAGCACGTGCAAGTGAACTGGTAGCAAAGGTAAATGAAAGCCCTCCTGGGAGAAAGAAAGAAAGAAAGAAAGAAAGAAAGAAAGAAAGAAAGAAAGACTACCCCAACCCCCACCCCTGCGGTCGCACTGTGGCTTCCAGGGAGGCTAAAAGCCCAGGATGAACAGTGTAGCATTGAATGGGCCGCACCAAAGCATGTGGGATGGAGGGGCCGTGGCCCAGTGGCCAGGGTGAATGAATGGGGGCATATTAGCTGAAGAGAGAAGCTAGAGGAGAATTCCCCGAGGTGGAAGCCTGGCAGAGAAGTAGGCGCTGCCAAGGGTAGGAGGCGAAAAGTCCCATTCCGCTCTCTGTGTTAGGGCAAATTAACATGAGAATTTCCTTCTTATTTATCATTTTCAGAGTGAAAAATGGATAGGCTAGGAGAGCAAATTTGGTGTAATGGTTAAAACACCAGGCTACAAATTGGGAGACTGTGAGTTCAAGTCTCTCCTTTAGCCGAAGGCCAGCAGGGTGACCTTGGCCAATCACTCTCTCTCAGTTCTAGGAAGCAAGTAAGAGCAAAGCGCTTCCAAAATCTTGCCAAGAGATTTTGTCCAGGCAGTCATCAGGAGTCAAAAACTGACTTGGAGGCACAAAAAACAAAATGTATAATTGAATGTTGATGAAGCTGCTTTATATGGGCTACACACAGAGAAGCTTAAGGTGCTCTTCTTGTCAATAAATAAAATAAGAAATTTTAAAGACCCTTATCCTGTGTTTGAAATCAAGAGTTCTTTCCACATGTTTGGATTCCCCAGGCTATGTATGCCCCTCCTTCCCAGATTTTCATTCTCCATCTCACATCCCACAGGGTTTCTGAAACCATTTTTCCTCCAAACTCTTGAAATACTTTTTCTCCCCATTTTCTGCTGATGGCTATTTTTTGGCACAGTAGGAACCAGACAGTATGAGAATCCTGTGAGACAGCTTCTTGAAAGCAACATTTCTGTTAAACTTAGTGGAAAGCCTCTCCAAATCTCACTCCTCCCCAATTAGTTGTATGTATGCAGCTCTTGCAATTAAAATTGCTCAGTCAAATATTAGTTGTCACATTGTGTTAAAGGCATTCTCAGCATATTCCCTTGGAAGTGCTGGACTGCCCGCCGTCCCATCATCTGCTCATGGGCCCCAAATATACCCAGCCAGAATGTCTCATTGGCAGGTTTTGTGAAACAGCAACCTCTTCATTCTATGTGAGAAGACGACAAAACTTTTCTTGATAAGACAAAATATGGCAGCAAAATAAGAACTGGGGGTATAATAATTTCTAACAGAACCAAAAATGCATTTACTACTAAACATAGATAAATCAATTCAGTTTTCCCCAACCGGGTGCCCTCTGTATGGGTTAGCTAGCACTTCCTATCATTCTTCACACTTATGAATTAAAATTGCCAAACAAGATTAAAAGGAAAAGTTGTAATTTTAATATCATAATCTACTTAATGTACAAGGAAAGTGATTCTGTTAAGCCATCTTTCTCTTGAGGAATGCTGTATATGCATCACATAGAACTATAGTTTCTTTGTAGCAAGGAAAGTATAACAGGTACTCAACTCATATCTAACTATTGATATAGAAGAAGAATTCATTCTCAGGCCGTGAATAGATTAATAACATGTTGTTTTATATTCATGTTGCTTAATCACAAAATATTCCAAACATACTCTAATTAATGTATTAGGTGCTTGTTATATAACTTATATGTACAATCACTCACCACTTTGCACAGCTCTTCTGAAGGTATTCCAGGAACGTATTTACTTATTTTATTAGATTTGTCCACTGTCTGACTCCCATCAACTTCTTTACATCTTTTCCGAGCATAATTGTTTTATATGTTATTTATAACAGAGTCGCTTGATAGTGAGATGAGTAGCATATAAGTTTAATAAATAATAAATAAATAATGCTTCCACTAATCTTGCCAAGCTTAATACATTTTTCAATACATGTTCCAGCTTTCATTCAGCCATGGCTTCTTCCAAGTTGTTCATATGTCCACATAGAGTCTTGTGCTGGCTCGCTGATAAAAGAACTAAGATTAGAGATTTTCCCACAGGAGTTGGCATCAGAATCTTAAAATTACCAGAGGAACTCTTGGACCCAAAACTAGAAATGGGAGAGAATTAAAATGGAAGTGAGTTATGGCTGGCAGCTAAAATGGACCAAGATATTTCTGGCTATTGAAAGTTTATGATTTTAGTAATGATGGTGGTGGACCTAAATGGGAGTGGGTAGTGTTACATTGCTGAAACTTTGTTGTTCTTTGAATTTTGCTTCAAGATGGGATTGCAACCCTCGGAAGTAGAGGAGAGGCAAGGATTGATGGGAACATTGGGAAGGGTGCACAGGGGTGTAAGGAGTGCACAAGAGGTGCTGCACAGATTGGGAAGGGTGCGTGGTGTTGACCATGAAGTGCTGCATGGATTGGAAGATCTTTAGGTTGTGGACATGTAAAAACATATAGAAGATGCTGTCAGAGGGGAAAAGACAATATTATACCTGAAACTACAGAACAGTCATGTCAGATATTGCCTGCATATGATGCACCAGAGACTAGAAGGGGTTTATTTATTTATTTATTTATTTATTAGATTTTTATACCGCCCCCTCTCCTGAAGGACTCGGGGCGGTGAACAGCCAAAGTTAAAAACATACAATATAAACAATTAAAAATACGTTTAAAACAGAATTAAATCTAAAATGGCTCCCCAATTTAAAATGCCTTACCCATACCCCTATAAAAAGACGAATTTAAAATTTAAAAATTTAAAATTTCCACATTTAAAAAGGGGGAAAAAAGGGGGTTAAGTCTTTACAGACATCACATGTGACTATATCAGCCAATGAACTCTCTTATTGGACTCTTACCTAGAAACCACTTGGATATCTTCCCTTTCTTTTCTCTCTCTCTCATCTATCTCTCAGCGAGACAACATGTGGACTTCTCTGTCCTCTCAACATCTGAGTCATACAGTTAGGGTAAAAATGTCACAGGGCATCCTGTTCATTATCGTATGCATGTATATATTTGTAAATAATAAAAACAACTTTTTGAACCTGAAGCTGTATTGACCAAATGACTTCCTCATAGAACCAAATGAGCATGACCATCAATATATATCTGATAAATGGTAGCAGAGGATGAAAAATTATTGCTCAGATCTATGATTTTTTAATAAATTTTAAAATCATAGAACGATTTTTCCTAACATGGAATCCTTGAACCTGAATGAACTATCTTTACAAGAGATTGATGCATTAACCGTATCCTTAACAAAACAGCACCAATCATTATCCAAAAGACTAAAAAAACTTTCTATTGAAGCTACGCAGCAAGTACAAACCTCTTTACGAAAGGACCCAACCTTTTTTTCTCCTCTTCACCCGAACACCGAAAGAACAGAACCATGCTTAAAACAACCTTGCTTCGATCTCAATTCTACTCCACCTCACATCTATCATCAAGAACTTCAACCTTCTGAATCCCTTGTATGTTCCACCCTATAACTTCAGACCAACTTTTATTTTCTCAAGCTTCTCCAAAACAGCATTTATATCAAGCTTTATATGCAACAGGCCTACTAAATGCAGGCTGGACTCCTCAAAGAACTCTTGAACTGTTAAACACCCTTTCAACCTCACCAGACCTGGTAAGCGACAATTTTTTGCTTCAACCCATAGATTCCCAGACTGACTTTTTAAACACCCATTATATTGAAAATCCTCCCTCCCCACCTATTGACTTTATTGCTTCCAATATGGCTTCCACCTTCCCCGAAAGCATGGCTTCAAAAATGGCTGACAAAATGGCCACCCCCCACACTCCACCATGCGGTCCACAAAATGGCCGACAATTTATATGACCACACTTTAAACAAAATGACGTCTACCACTTGAGACCACAAGGTCTCAACCAACCCCCTTACCCCCATACATCCTACTACCCACCCCACAACTGGAGATATTCAGACTGATTCCCTACCTTCTTCATCCAGAGCACCAAGTTCGAATCCTCCCAATTTTTTTTTCAATTTTCAGAACTTTTCTATTTTTGCCGCCGCTGCAGACCTCCCCATCTATACCACTGCAGCTACAGTAGAAATATTTCTACTGATATCAATATTGTCTCCAATGTAAAAAGATCTTTTTCAGTCTTTGCAGCCGCCGCCTCGCTCCCCCCTTATCGCCGAAGATGCCGCCACTGCCACTGCCACTGCCGCCTCCAACATTACAGATGCCCCGTCCAAACAACAAATTCACACGATTTTTGCAGCCTTTGCATCAAAAGCCAACCTACCTTCTACAGCAGCCGATGCCGTCGCAGCAGCTCTTCCGAATCAAACAACAACCACCACCTCCATTACTCCTCCTATCATTGAATCACCTACAACATCTTCTCTCACACCAAACGACTCCAATCAACAATCCGACGTTCAATTATCTATCTCTGCTGACAGTAACTCATTTCAGCCTCCTATTACTGTAAACTGTAATCATTTAAATATTGAAACTAATAATTCTTTGTCTTTATCTACTAATGTAAATTTATCTTTAGAAATTGAAACTGTTTTGCAACATTTTAAACAACATGGCCCATTACCTTTATCACCAAACTTCAAAAAATTACCAACCTCAGGTAATAATTTCCCTACTTGGGGACAAGGAACTCATTTACATCTTTTAAGAGAAGGCACATTTCTTTTTTTTTTTATTGAAAAAGTTTTCAAATACAAATTTTTCCCCCTTTTTTCTCCCCCTCCCTAACCCCCCCTCCCCACCCATCCCCCCCTGTGACTTCTTCATAACCAAAAACCTAATTCATAACAGATTACTTACTCCCACCTCTAAATACTGACCTTTACTTACTAGAAATATTATTAATATTATAACATCCCCCTTTAACCATACATTTCAAGAAAGAAAGAAAAACATTATACTATAACATTGTATAATAACTTCTAATTTAGCATAGTATTATTATAACTCCCAATTTGGCAATAATCTGCCCTTTTTCTCCTCTCCCAAACTTATATCTATATATTATTACAACAATTCAAAACCACCTTCCACTTTAAAGCTATACAATAAATCCTACTTTAGCATTTAATCTTTTATATATATTAATATAACATTTCAAAGCGGCCTTCCCCATAAAACCTAATTTAACATTTATTCAACTCTATCCATTTCCTCCACTCCCCTAAATATATCACTTAAACATCCCTTTTCTTAAACTAATCAGTCTGTAAATTAGCTTATTCACCCACTTTCCTGCAAAATTGCCGTGCACAACAATTCTTAATATCTTTGATTCACTGCCCACTCTGCTTATATATATATATATATATATATATACACGTATATATTCCATTATATCTAAATAGAAAAGAAAAGACAATGACTTTAAATTTATAGTCCATATAATATCTTCTTTGAAGTCTTTCCACTGGATTATTAAAACCATCATCCATAATAGGGTAACATAGCTTCCTGATGCAACAGCTTGTTCAAAATCTTCAATCATATCTGCCCCCATCAGTAGTAGATATCCTCATATATATATAAAAGTAAAAACAACCACCCGAGTGACATTATAATTATATTCCATATAGTTGTAATTGTGGCTTTCATCAGGATTTTTGATTCCCATCATCCTAGTGGGTAACAGCCAGATCTTCTGCATGCCCCAACGTAACTCTCTTGCCTTATAACTCAAGATAGTTATAATATATTTATCGATACAAAAAAAAAAATCCAAAGTAGATAATTCAAATCCAACAGTTTAAGGCTCTTTTCACATCCCAGAATTACGGCAATGCAGAGGTCTGTCACTGTCCTCAGGATAATATTGACCAATACTTCGCCTCAGCTATCTTTTCACATATTCATTCATTTTTTAAAGTCACTGGCTTCACTGTTGCTTGATTTAGAAATTTCTATTTTTGTGCGACCTATTTCTTTTTTTCTTTTCTTTTTGTGGGTTTAATTTCCATCCTGGTTTCCTTTCTACAGGTTGTGTATCAACTAATCGGTTTTCATTCTGCTTTATAAGTTGATCTTGTTGGTTTTGTTTTTGTATCTCATGTTTCTTTTTTGCCCCTTGTATATCATCTAATTGGTTTCCATACTTGTCTTTGACTTGATAAGTCATCACGTTAGAGTCAGATGCCACTTCTCTCAAATTTGTAGATAATCCAGCTGGGGTATCCAAAAGATCCAAAGGCAATTTATCTAGTGCAGTCTCTGTAGTTCGATATTTTCCCTTTATTTCCAACTCCTTCTGCTTATCCTGTATTATGCTTAAAGATGTTAAGTTCATTTTCAAAATGTTTTGATAAAATTCTTCCGCTCTTTCAACAGTATTTAGCTGGTATCTTTCTCCTTGATATCTCAGTATAATATCAACTGGGGCGTCCCACCTAAATGGGATATTTCTTTTTTTTAACTCAGTCACCAGAAAACCAAATTTCTTCCTTTCCGTTAATATCTTGGGTGGGAGTTCTTTGTAAATCCAAATCTTTCTTCCATACAATTGCAAATTAAAATTGAAGGAATTTTGCACAATGTTATTCCTAATTTCTTTATCTGTAAAATAAATCACCACATCTCTAGGCAATTGCCTTTGCTTTGCAATCCAGGAGTTTATTCTGTAAACTCTGTCAATCCTAGAAAACACTTCCTCAGGTTGAACCTTTAAAATCCCAGCTAGAATTTCAGAAGATATTTTCCTTAAATCATCTCTGTTATTTTCCTGCAAACCTCTCAGTCTTATCGCATATTCAGTGAAATTATATTGTACCATTAAAACCTCTCTTTCAATCCTCTGTTGCAGATTTTCTACATTGCCAGTCTTTTGATCAACCTCCATTTTAGGTTTTTCTTCTGAGCTATTATCTTGAGTATTTATCAAATCATTTTCAATTTTTTGAATTCTATTGTCCAAATTATCTTGAGTTTCTTCCATTTTAGACTCTAATAACTTAGTATTTATATCCAACTGTATCATAAATTCTGAGAAGCCATTAGCCATTTTTAAAATTTTTCGCTCCAAAAAATCAAACTTAGATTTCACCAGTTCTTTAATTTCCTGCTTAAATTTTTGAAGATGCTGATTCACAATCTCATCCCTTCTTTCAATCTCCTCTAAAAGAAATTCTATTATATTAAAATCAGGTTTCTGAGACTGGAGACTTAAAACTTGTTCCTTTAAGTTGTTAGTGGGGGAATCCCCCCCCACTACTTGTTTGTCTGACTTTATAAGTCTCAGTGCCATGTTTCCGCCCAGGCAAGCTTTGTTAAAAAAAAGAAAAAAGACTTCTTTCCAACAAAAGCAGTATCAGATCTCCAAGAGAAAAAAGAGAGAAAAGAAACACAGGAGCGAAGTTTTGTCTACAATTGTAGCCAATGGTATTTATTCCGCTACATTGTAATCATAGAAAACGGAAGGACTTTCCCTTTCAGCCTCTCCTCAAGCCGCGGCAGACGCCCAGGCAAGCTTTGTTAAAAAAAAGAAAAAAGACTTCTTTCCAACCAAAAGCAGTATCAGATCTCCAAGAGAAAAAAGAGAGAAAAGAAACACAGGAGCGAAGTTTTGTCTACAATTGTAGCCAATGGTATTTATTCCGCTACATTGTAATCATAGAAAACGGAAGGACTTTCCCTTTCAGCCTCTCCTCAAGCCGCGGCAGACGCCATTTTAAAAGTTTTTTCCTTTCCTTTTTTTCTCTTAAATAATTTTAAAAAATAAGTAAAATACTTGCGATTCAGTATCACAGGTCCAGCTCACATTTTCTTTAATTGATCTGTTAAATTCGCAGGCTTGCTCTTGTCGCCTGGCTCTGCATGTAGCACATTTCTTATAATTGATTCTCCCCCTAATAAGCCTTGGTCATCTGACTTAACTTTTCTTCACAATAGTGTTTATGCCACTCTTATGTCAACTTTAGAAAGTAATATTGTTC